CCCCAAAGGGGAGGGCTCCATTCCTGAGATGCCTTCCTGGCAGGGGACTTGGCTAGGTGGTTAAAAATAACCGGCTCTCCCACATCTCCATAGCTTCCCCTGAGCGTCACCCAGGAAGCAGGCAGGGCAGGGTTCATTAACTCCATTATAAAGGGCAGGAAACTGAGGCTTGGGGAGGTTCAAGGACTCTCCCCAGACACCTAACGATGAGGTGGCCAAGGGACCACACTCCCAGTTCTTCCCCAAGTGAAGTCCTTGTCATAGGCGTCCCCAGGAGGCAGTGAATACACCGAAGCCTAGTTCAACCAGGCTGCCGGTGCCCTGCCTCCTGGGCATGTGCTACTTTGGCCTTTTGAGCAGAGAAACCAGGCGCAGGCTCCCTTTGTGCAGGCCAGACGTATCTGGCTAGAATGAATTGCATCATTCATTTTTAGTGTTGCTTTCTGTTGATGACAAATGGTACTGTTTTTTATTCATGATAGTGACAGAAAAGTTTGGACTTGGAGAAAAAAGTGCATCAACTTAAAATACTAAACGACTAGTAGTCCAGGTGGCTCTCGGATGTGGTACGAAGGTGTTGGGCACACGCTGCCCTTCTGAAGGCCTCACCCAGTCTCAGGCACAGGCCAGCTGGAGACACGTGCTGGCCCAGGAATCTTGACAGAACCCACAGCTGATTGGCGTTGGCTGCCGACATGTAAACCAGAATCCGGGAACTAGTGGAGAAACTGGCCAGGACACTGGCTTCGATCGGGGACCCAGACCCAGGCAGCCGGGCAGCACCCCCTTTCCCAACCCCTTCCGGCCACGCACTGGTCAACCGGACAAGGCCGAGGCCTCCCTGTTGCGTGGCCTGGCGCTGAGATGACAAGGGAGACACTGGGCAAGTCATATCTGGGTGGCATCTGTCTTTAGCCACTTTAATTGTTTGGTTGGTGGAGAAAGAGGAACGAGCAACGGGTTTCTAGCAGGCAGGGTCTTTGGAGGAGGACAGGGCTGCCCCTTTCATAAGACCCCCAGCACTGAGGAGACACCCTTGCCCCCCACTGGCCCCGGCCCTGAGTGTTTTCTAGCTGGGAACAGGTGGGGACGTGGAGGGGAGGGGCAATGTGTGCTGGGTATTGCAGGCATTCCACCGACACGACTTCATGTAATCCTCACAACAAACAGCCAGATGAGGTAGACATTATTTCAGAGGAGAACACAAGCCCGGAGAGTTTAGGTGACTTGCCTGAGGTCACACAGCTGGGAAAGGGTAGAGCCAGAATTACTAGAGATAAGCCAATTCCAGATCGTGCCCTGGCCACCCAGAGGAGCAGAACAGTGGGAGGTCCCAAATGCAAAAAGAATCCCCTTCCAGTGTGTCCAGAGCATCACCCCACCAACACCTTTAAGATACTGGGTCATTTTCTCACTTAAGCCAAACCTCAAACTAGGCAGCTTCTCCACAGAGGTATCAAACTGAGACATTGCTTCTTAAAATGAATCAGGTGTCCAAATGTCATTCCAGTGACAGAAATGAGTCAGCCTGCCACTCCCTCTGGCCAGCTCTGGAGAGTGGCCTGGAGTGCAAGGTTGCAGTTTAGAAAGAAAGGGAAAAAAGCCAAAGCCAATGGCTGCTGAACTGTCAGTCATGTTCTACTGATGTTAGAGGGTTGGAGAACCCACTGACTGGACTCTAAGCTGCAGCCCTAGGATGCTCTTCCGCCCAGGACTTCTGATGCCCAAGGGAAATGGGGAACTAGATGCTGGGACGAGCTGAGACAGACGTTGGGATCAGACATGGAGGTTCAAATCTTGGCTGTGCCATTTACGAGCTGTGTGACCTTGCTCAGTGTGCTTAACCTTTCTGAGCCCCATGTGAAATTCAGGGGCGATGGTCCCACTTGCCCCACCTCCTAGGATTGTTTTGAGGAATAAACGAGTTAAGCCATGAGTCGAAGCAGACAGTCCAAGGGGAATACCAAGTGCTTGATAAATGTCTGCAGGTTTGCTGTGAGGCCAGGCTTGCAAGTCAAAGGAAGGAGGGGATTGAGCCTTAGCAGCCACGGTGTGTGGCACAGAAGAGAGGAACCAAGACATCCTCCAGGCACAGATACAGAGGCCTGGGGCTGCATCTCTGTCCGCAACTGGCTGTGTGACTTAGGGCAGGTCACCACCCTCTCTGGGTCCCTCTTACTCTGTGGAGTGAGTAAGACCAACACAGATCAGGGTCTCCTAAACCTCATATGATGCTGCCAGCAATTTTTGCTCTGTCTGCCCACCGCCTGAACTGTTACTTACACAGTTGTCCTTAAACTGGCTCTCTTTTTAAAGTGAAAGTAATGTTGTGAAGAGGGGAACTTGTAGTGTTCTTATTAGAAGTGGAAAACTGGCATCACTTGCCAAAAATAGAAGGTGACCCTACAGATAAAGAAGGAGAACAGAACGAGTTAGTGAGTTCCAGCTGGAGCCGGCACCTGCAAGGCCCTGAGTCTGTTCAGACGGGGGATTAGGGCGCGTGACAGCAGCGCGCCAGCCAGACTTGCCTGGGACTCGATGCTGTTTGCAAGGACTGAGGGGGAAGTGAGTCCCTTCTCCAAGGGGGGTTCTCTAACCCCTCCCACCCAAGACTGAAATGGGATCCCCTGCCTTGGAGAGCGCTCAGTGAGCCCTGCTAAAGCTGAGTCAGAATAAACTATTCTGCTCCAGGTTCCCAGACACCAGGGCCCTCGAGAGCACCACAGGGAACCCCGGAGTCTCTTTGGAGGAGGGAGGTCCACAGAAGGTGGGCTCCTGGTGGGATGGGAGGGGACCCTGTGAACACCCTTCTGGAGGGCCAAGCTCTCCGATGCTCTAGCTGCATCCCCAGCTTCTGCTCTCACCTGCCAGGTCCACGTGGGAGACCAGATGGGGTCCGGGGACATGAGGACTTGCCTTGGTCATCAGTGGGAGCTGGGGAAGGTCTCTGAGCGGTGGAAGGGTATGCTCCCAGCTGGCCTCCAGGGGATGAATCTGGCAGACAACATGAGAAATTTGGCTGATTTGGCCCCTGCTCACCTCTCCAGCCATGCCTCCCCCATGGCCAGCCTTCAACCCCCTTCTCTCCGCCCCTAACAAAATACAGGAGCTTCCAGGACCTGGTTACCAGCCCGCCGCCTACCTGGCATGTCCTTTGGGCACAGCCTTCCCCAGACTCTAGGCTCTATCCATCCCCTGTGCTTCCTCCCGGGGTCAGTGTATTACCTTGGGCTGAAATTGCTGACTAGATTGTGTATCAAAGGCAGGGGCTGTACTCATTGCGTGGTCCCCAGTACCCAGCTCAGGACCTGGCACACGGGAGGTATGAGTTTATGTAATATGTTTAAAATCTCCAGTGGGACAAAGCCCTGGAGAGCTGAGCATCCTCAGAGAAGTTTCTTACCCTCTCCTAACCTTAGTTAGGTGTCTTCATCTGTATCGTGGAATCGTAATAGTACGGGGTTGTTGGGAGATTTGAATGAAATGACCCGTGCAACACTCCATCTCAGTCATGCTTTCCCAGGAAGCAGACCCTGGAACAAGGATTCAAGTACAAACTGTTTATTTGGGAGATGATCCCAGGAACTAGCGGTGGGGAATGGGGCAGTGAGACGGGGAAAGGATGCGTCCTCGTGTAGGTCACCACTGTGGCCCTGGGCTTAGTCCTGCTCAGGAGCTCTGGGAACCAGTGTAGGTGGAGAATATGCCTCAGAGTTGTCCCAGCTGCCAGGTAAGAGCTGGAATATCGATCTACCAGTTTGCTGGCCATCACTGGTTGGAAGGCAGCTGTGGGGAGACGTTGGCTCTGCCTGGACTTGTGGCCTGGGGCCCAGGTAGGCCCTGGAGGCAGAGAGGCAGGTCCCTGAAGGTGGCAGCTGCCAGGTCAGTGTGCCTGGAAAGGGTGAGTGGATGTAATGTGGTGAGGCACCCACAGCTCTGCCTTGGGCTTGTGGCACATAGTACAACTCAGGAAGTGGTAGCTGCCCTGATTGTTTCCATCATTGTCACTAGTCCAGTGCCAGCTCTGCTTGTCACAGTTGTGCAGCTTTAGGCAGGCCACTTGGCTTCCCTGAACCTCTGTTTCTGAGCCGATAAAATGGCAAGATGCATGGTTCTCAGTGGAAGCAGTTCTGCCACCTTAGGTGGCCTTGGAAATGGGGTGAGGGGGCATTTTGAGTTGCCACAGTGACTGGGAGTGCTGCTGGCACTTGGTGGTCAGGGATCAGGGATCCCTAAACACCCCGCAATGCCCAGAATGGCACCCTGCACATCAGAGAATTGTCCTGCCTGAAAGGTCAATAGTGCTCTGATGAACAATAGCACATGTCGTGTTTAACATGTTTTGTTCAATGCTCAGTGACGTTTGCAGAAGGGCTAGCCTGAGCTGGCAAAGGTGAGGCTCAGAACGGGGGCAGGACTTGTGGGGGCTGTAAGGAGGGTGGGCCTGGGATTATGAGATGCTGCAGACACACAAGCACCCAGCTGGACCCCAAGAGAGAAAGGAATGGGAGATGAGGGCCTGTGGGGAGCCAGGCATGAGATTGATGCAGTGTCCTGGGGAGTCGAGCTAAGCAGAGCTGCTGAGTAGCTTGGCTCTGGCCGAAGCCTTCCTGTAGGCTGCAAAGCATTTTCCCGGCAAGGTGGGAGCTGCGCCAAGCCCCACCCACTCCGCGGGTCTTGCTCAGCTGCCCTGGAGCTCGTCAGCCAGCAGACCCTGGGTGCCCTCGGAGCGGGCTGCCCTCCTCCCTCAGGTCTTCTGGGGATTATCTCCCAGGTGCAACTGCCTTAGAAGTCAGGCAAATTCATAAAAAGGAGTTTTTAATAAAAATTACAGAAAAACATCTCTAGCCTGAATCTAGGGCTTCTAGAGTTTCCCCAAAAGCGAGGGAGGAAGACCTGAGGGCAGCGGGTGGACAGGTCCAGATCTCCACCCCCACCACCACCACTGGGTGGCAGGGCAGTGATTCCATGCCAGTAACACTCTTTGTCCCTCTCATTAGGCCTGCACCCCTCAAAAGCTTCGTGCCAACAGAGAGGTTCCGGTCCTGACCCAGGGCAGTGATAGAGAGATTGAGACTGAGCGCCGAGGTCCAGAAGGCACGGGCCCCTGCAGAAGGGGGAAGGAAAGGGCGCCCAGAGACCTCGCCTGCCTGCAGCATCACGCAAACGGCCTTGCCTTGGCTTCCCACCTTTCGCAACTGCGATGGATGTTTACAGGAACCCAGCCAGAGTCTGCCTCCTTGCTCTTCACCCCTGACTGCACCTGCTTCCCCCACTTAAACTTCGGAGAGGACACTTCACACACAGAAGCGTCTCCCAGCTCTATTTGATGCCAGCGGAGCGGCAAGGTTTGGCCCGAGGCTGGTCTTAGATGCAGCAACTGTTTCGGAGGGTGACTCAGAAGGAAAAGAAGAACATGTTGGGGGCCGAGGGTGGGGTTTGACTCATTCAAGTTGTTTGCTCTCCATCAGATTGCCAGAACTGATGATATATTGCGCCGGGGGACAGCGCTCTTCCGGCCAGAAATATTTTTTTCGAAAATGTGAGTGGTATAAATACTTGACTTCGATAAACCTGTAAAAGCAATACTTAGGAGGCTGACTTCTTTCAATTAAAAAATGTATGCAACTCCAACCCCTGGGGGCCCTGCCTTTTTTGTTTGTTTGTTTGTTTCCCCCTTTGAGCTTTGGAAAAGGAGCCCTTAGGCAGAACCTCGTGACTGACAAAGGGCAGAAGAGTCCAGGTCTTCCCAGCTGGAGAAGCAGCCGGGTTTGGAGAGTTGATCCAAGATATGCAGGCGTGGGAGTCCCAACTCGGCCCCCTCCCAGCTTCCACAAGCCTGACAAGCCAGGGCCCGCCTTCGGGGTGTGGTGGACAAGGCCTGCTAGCCAAGCTGGAAATCAGGCCTGAATTCCAGAGCTGTTGGGGGTGGGGGTACCCCGTG